TCTTGCAATCTCTTAGTGCTTGAGAGAATGGGTAATCTCTTGGTGCCTGAGAGAACGGGTGGATTGCTTCTGCAAAATGCTTCTGCACTTGTTTCCCATAGCTCGCCCCAAAACCAAGCATCAGTAACAGCGTCTATTCCAGAGTCTAAACCAAAGAAGAAAATATGCTGTGCTTGCCCAGAGACTAAGAAGCTTAGAGATGAATGCATTGTGGAGCATGGTGAAGAGACCTGTGCAAAATGGATTGAGGCTCACCTTCAGTGTCTTCGAGCTGAGGGCTTCAACGTTTGAAATAGATACACTACACTGAGCTGATAAAACAAAATCAATTTTTGAGGTACAGACTATTTATTTTAAAAGTACTCCAGATGGTTTGAATCTCAGGACATAAGGAAATAACATTTTTTGACGGTTTGATACGGTCTGTTTCCGACCAAACATTTTGTTGAATTTTTTTCTTTTGATGTTATATCATACCTCTATAAACAAACTGTGAAATTGGCAAGAATACATTCAACATTTTTATTTGCTTTCTGTGCTTTCCTGGCAATCAATATACATTCAACATTTTTATTTGCTTTCTGTGCTTTCCTGGGATCATTGATTGCATTGATATCAAAATTTTTTATTAACTTCGTTACCACCATACCTTATCAAATCCACAATTTTACTTTTTGACGAGTATATGAAAGAGAGTTACCACTTCTGCAATACATCTAACTGGAATACTGAAATAATCATTCTTTTACAGTTTAATATGATTATTTCACAGTTTAATACAATTCAAATTGGACAACAATGAAAACAAGAAAATTGACTGGAGAGAACCACCAGCGAGAATCAATCTCATTCCCATCCCTGGATTTATTAGTCGAAACGCAGGATGAAATAAATTAGAAAAAATAAATTAGCAATCTCAATTGCTGATTTGATACATTTTACAGATATATACATATAATTACGATCCACCTTATGTATCTATGCTACAATCAAAATGAAATGTTAAGCTACTACCAATTACATGAACTAACAAAAAGTAATTTTGAGAAAAATACAATTGGTACTATGGGCCAAGCATCAGCCAAACTACAACTACATGGATCTTTTCATCTATATCGTCTGCCTTTCTATGAGGGAGGATCAGAAATCTGATTTCATGAGCTTCGCTCGGGCCTTTATGCCAATGTTGTCAAGGGGTCTTGGCTGTTCCACATGGATGTAATCTTTAGTCTTGAGAACCTGCATGTCAGAGTTTTGTTAATGAAATTCTAGGAAATGGGAACCAACTTTAGAAAAAGGAAGTTTCAACAGACATACCAATGTCTCAAAAAACATTCTTGCTGCTTCTTTTCGAGTTTTGCCAGCCAATAGATTGTCCATGGCAAGAACCTTTCTTCCATGTACAGCTTCGTTGTCAAACAAGTTCTGCAAGTACTTGGCAACAGCCCTATGGGAAAGAGTAATCAACAAACATCAACATGTGGAGCAAACTCATTCTAAATTCCAAGTACACAAGAAATTATGTGATCAATCCTAGAAAATCTAAAAGGAAAATTAAAGTAAAACCATCATCTATCACAGAAATCAAAGTAAACAACAACCTGGTACGAGCAGACCAGCCACTATTATCAAGAATACTGTTTTCTTCCCCATAAGGCATGCCCTCTTCGTCTTCTTCACCTACCTCATCATCTACATTCAAAAACTCTGAAAAAAGGGAGAAAGGATAAAGAAATTCAATATCAACCCCAAAAAATTCTAGAAAACAATTAAAGACAGTAAAAGACTACTTTTAATTTAAACAACTAAATGGTGCTCTCTTTTCTATCTTATATAATCAGTATTACATATTTGTCTTAATTTGTTAACACTTTACTTGGTCTGCCCTAGTCTCATAAACAATGATACTACCAAACTGCCGAACAAAGCATATGCCCAATCATATCAGACACCATAAAGCAATTGCATGTGAATTGTCAAACTACAGATCTTTGTGCAACCTTCATAACAATGTGCTTGAGCATGGTCAAGAAGATAGAATCTAGGTTTTTGATAAAGATGAGCAAATAATAACACATTTGCTTATCTGAACAAAATCCTCCACTTAAAAAGTGTATCCTTCATTCAAGAAACTTTATCAAAGTATTTATTTTGAGCAGTTTGAATTAGGAAATATAATTTCAGGAAATAAATCAAGAAGCCTAAGAGAGAAAACTAATATTAAAAGCAAGAGTTGGTCACCTGTGTCATTTGCAATTGTGATGTTCCCAGATTCCTGCAACAAAGGGCCAAAAAATGCAGTTAGCCTAGTGCTTAAACATCATGCTCATAAGGTCGAAAACTGTACAACAAAGCTACCATTATAACAACAGTATGCCCTGTGAATAACATTCCTGACATAAATTGTACCAAATGCAACAAAAATATGAAGCCATAGAACATAAGACAGACGGTAGATCACCAAGCTTAATTCAATAACTAAAATTACATGTTTAATAGTAAAAACTGTGGTTATTAAATTTATACAAAAACTTTTAGTGAATCATAATGATAGAATCAGAAAGTTCACCATTGGTGCACATGTATATACTGCCCCTTAACTAGCTATACCACATCTCCTAAGTGCAAAATTAGTTTGACGTATCAAAATGCCTTGGTGACCATTAGGCAAATTCAGAACCATAGCAATTGTTCTCAGTTAAAAGGCATTCAGTGTGTAAAATATTTGAGCTATGCACCTGATTATCCACAGGACAGTGGTCCTCAGTAGCGATTTCTGCATCCACAGCATCAACTTCATGAGTGGCTGGTTTTTCTCCATTTGATAAACTTCTGATGCCAGTATCAAGTTCCATGGACATAGAATCCATTTTAGGTTCTTCACTACACATATGGGTTAGATCCTTGCCATAAAGCCCAGTATCTGCATCCTTAAGTAAATCCTCATTCAATTCACCCATTCTATTCGTTCTAACTTCATCTGCAGCTTGGTTATCATTAAGAAATCCTCCAGATTCCACATAAGTTGCAAGAGAGTCACTTCCATTTTCAACAGGCACAGAACAGTCTGGCTGAGTTTCTGTATTGATTTCAACTGATGTGCTAGCTTTACCGTCTTCAGCCAAAGACTCGTCTCTTCCTTTTGCTTCAGATTCAACAGCAACAATGTTTTCACCATCACATATCAAAACTTCATTACCATCAGCTCCTCTGCAACTGCCTATATCAACTAGAGAAGCATCCTCCTCAACAGGTTGCGTACTCATTCTTTGATTAGGATCAACAGGGGATGACAGCTCAAACCAATCGTTAACAAAAAGATTTGCTGCATCAGCAACAGTTCCTTTATCAATTTCCATCTCAACCATCTCATTTAGAGGTTCACAATGTAAAGATTCAGATACATCAGCAGCAGCATCAGTATGCTGCATCCTTTGCTGGCTTTCAGTCTGAGGAGTCCCAACAGGTGCTTCAATGTCATCTCCATGAACCATTTCTTCAATACCACTTTCAATGGCAACTTCAGGCCTAACAGAGCATGCTGCATCCTTGGCTACTTCAGGAGAAGTGTGATTTTCATCAACTTCAGAAATCCTGGTTCCACTCAGATCATATGTTTCACTGTGCAGAGATCCTAGTTCTGCTGACATACCTGAAAAGTGCAGCAAATTAACTTGTAAGTGAGTTTTAGGGCCAATTCCAAAAATAAAATAAAATAAAATAACTTGTAGAGTTACAGAGAGAAGCACCAGCATCTTCAGAATCATTATATCAAATCAATAACAAAACCAAGGAAAGATTGCATAACACAATAGCAGCTGGGTGAATACTGAATAACTTTGACTTAGAGTGTTGAAACTCATGGAAGCAGCATAAGCTTTCACTTCCCCTCACTGCCCACCACCAGAGACACGTACTCAGACAAAAGACAGTGATAATAATAAGAATAAATACTATTGTGAAACCAACTGGTTGAGGCATATTAAAAGAACATAAACTTTAATTTAAATTATTCCCCAAAAATGCAGATACGTTGGCAGAAAAAAGAGAGCTATAATCTCACCAGTAAATATAGGTTCTCTGAAGATTTCATCATCCAAAAATTGCCTCTGAATAATTAAAATCTCAGGACGTGTGCAAGGCGCTTTCTTTCGTACACGACGTATGTCTTCCGTGCTAGTCAACTGCTGACGTATGGTACTACAGAGGAAAAAGGAGCCATATTCATCAATATTTTATGAAAGATGAAACTGAGAGATGCACGAGCTTGAAATCTTACACAAACAAATTAATCATAAGTACCAATTAAGAATACTTCAAAATTTACTAACCCTACTTCAAACCAAGACAAATGGACTGTATTTACACACTTGGGAAGATATTCAACATAAATGGATACACCAATACAGAATTATAAACAGAATGTTACTTTGCCAGGCAATGGACACATCTGGTGGTATTCTAGTGAACAAACAAGTTGGCACGAAGCACCTCTGGGAAGACAAATTGTTGACATGTGAAAAGCAGAAAAGGTATCAATTATGAAAACATGGAAAGGAAAATTTCTCTCAAAGCATAAATTTCATTATAGGATCTAAAAGGCCCAAAGCTGAGTTACCGTTCTTCATGTAGCATGTTGATAATGAATTTCAGAAACATCTTAAGCTAGGACAGTTAGATGACCAATCATGTAAACTTTGTAAAGAAGGTAATGAGCATGAAAAAGAACTTAAAGAGAAAGCAAAAAGGAAAAAACATACTCGCCATGCAAGACCATGGTATCATCCATAAGCACCTTCCTCTTTGATGCAGTGGGACGAGGTGCAGACCGAGCACGTTTTGCAGAAGCAACTTCAAATGCAGGAGTGGGTTTCATTTTCCAAACTGAAGATTTTCTTCCAACTGAAGAACAGAGAAATTCAATTTAGTAATGAAGTTATTCTTTTAAGGTATAACATTCCAAGTAATAATATTCTGGTAACTAGATGAAACAACACTAAATAGAATTTCTAGTTAAAAAGGTGTCCATACCTAAAATAGAAGAGAGTAAATCATCATCATCAGGAATGGAATCTGCAGTTTTCTTGGTTCGAGTCTGTCCAAATGATTCAACTGAGTTTATACTCTCCACAGTTAGTGTACTTTCTGTGTAATTTCGTTTTCTTCCTGAAAAAAGTCTTGTCCTGGCATCAATTCCAGCAGTCCCCCCTAAGATCTCCTTATCTGGTGTAGACTCAACTAGCAAATTAGTAGGCTCATCAATTAGCCCCTCCGGTACAGAGAGCAACTTCTCAGGTGCAGGTGCTTCAAAAGTCCCACGATCATTTGAATTTTCTAATTGATTATCACATGATATCAAATTGTGTGGTTGTTCACCAGAATTTCCACCATCTCTCAGGATCTCCTCGCCTGGAACATGTTCTGGCACCTCATTTTGGCAGCGTTCACCTGCAAAATTAATAAATGTAAAATAATCAAATCATGCTCTTATTCACTCCAAATGTGCCCAATCGAATGCCATTTTTTACAGATAAGCCCTTAATTTTCTTAGTTTTTACATTTTTTTTCCCTTATATGCTTTGATTAATAAATACAGTTGGAATTTACATTAGAGATCACCTTCAAAATCTCAATGAGAAAAAACAAAAATAAAAAATAAAATGTCAGGTCAACCATGAAATAAAGTGGACCAAAAAGAGTACTAAAAAATCAAAGTAAACCTCATAGACGTCACTAATCTGCAATAAATTCTACAGAATTATTAAAATAAATAAATATCTATATGTATATTAAAAAAAATAATAATAATAACACCTTGCCCTGCAACTTCAGATTGCACATTTGGAAGAACTTCTAAATGCTCTCCTCCAAAAGAGGACATATCAGGTTGCGCCTGGAGTGAAGTACATGGCTGAAGAACATGCATACAAGCAGATGAGACTTCTTCCTGAACATAATTCTTTGGTTTCAGACAAGCCTGAACTTCATCATCAACAACATTTGAGTTTTTAGTGGTTTCAGGATCATGATGATCACTTTGCTCAACAGTAGCCTGATCATTCTTCAAATAGCCATCTGATACAGGCACAAAGTTGCTATTTGAGGTCATCCGTCGACCTGCATCTTCTGTATCATATGTGACATTAGAGCAGCTAGGAGACTCAGCATAATCACCATCAGTTCTATCTAAAGATTTCACACCACCATTACTTTCAATCCGATTAAGACCATCTTGTCCACCAAGGGTAGCATCTGCTTCATACATGGCATTAGATTCTGTATTTTCTAGTGATTTTCTTAGTTCTTTTTCCACGTCACCAGAATGGCAGCCATTCTCAGGAGCTGTGCTAACAACAAAACCGTGATTTAAATCATTTTGTACAGACCCAGACACTATATTTTTATCCATAGGTTGAAGATTCATTTTATTGGAAATGTTTTCTCCACACTCTGCAGCAGCTGATTGTGTTACATCCTGATCTTCTGGTCCAATACAATCATCGCAAGCAAGTGCCTCTTGAACACTGGACAAGTTAGGCAGTTCCACCACTCCAGGTGTAGCTGGAGCCTGAGCATACTCAAAGAATTCATTATTTGCACGTGGATCTTCAATCTAAAAGCAAAGGTAACCAATATACAGGCTGAGTTGGACATTAACATGGCTAATACACGGATCATTTATACGGTAAATGAATAGGTAACCACATTCAAATGACAAAAATGATTGAATAATTAAAAAGTGTTTGACAATAAATAAACCTGATCTCCATCATCATCATCAACTAGCATAGCTTCTGAATTACTAGCATCTTTTTTTATTATTGTCAATGTTTCATCTGAACCTTGAGGGTCAGTCCTGAGAGTAGGGGTGAAAAAAGGTAAGGTTCATGATAAACATCAAGAATGAGAAGAAAAAATATAAAACAGAGAAAGCTTATTAACCTCAAGAATGGACTGGATGTATGATTTTGATGCAAACTGTACTTCAAAACCAATTTCATTTTTAAGTTGCTTCTTTTTAATGGGCTTTACGCGAGTTACTTGAATAATAATAACATGAACTAGTGTATGCAAGAAAAGAAACTAGGTGACAGGTGACATTCAAAAACAGAAATGCCAATAGAAAAGGAAGAATAGAACTGATCCCAAGTAAGGCTCATAATGCAACTTAGCAGTTCACAAACTAAGAGTATGATGCATTGAGTCAGAAAGTATGTATGACAAAAATAACAATAGTAATTAAAAAGCTAGTTGCAGTATGAACCAACTAAAACTTCCTAATAACAATGCCAAGTCTCCAACAATCTCCACCACCACCAAAGAATAACTTTAGGGAAAATGAAGAAGATACATGTACAATTAACATGCTAATGATCAGAGAAGATAAAAAATACATGTTGAGCTTACTTTGAAACTCCATTATCCCCCGGAGCAGCATCCTTATCCAAGAAGAGCTCCTGATCAAGATTAATCCAGGACCAAAAAATTATTAGATAAAAGTAGAGGATAAAGAATGAGATCAGTAATAAAGGAATTACAGTTTTTGTAGACCAGATGATGCACTGAAACAACAGGAGAGAAGGCCTTTAGATGTCTAAAACCATGCCTTGGATGGCTTTATGGTGTTGAAGGAAAAGCAAACATTGACCAACTTTATACTTATTCAAGAAATAAGCAAGCTTAGCAAAATTACCTCATCAAGATCCAAACCAATATGGGACGTGTCACCATCTCCAAACCGCTCTGAAAAGATATACAATGCAATTAAGTAGAATTCATGAAGCCAGCCATCAAAATGTGATAAATATAGCATTGTCACAGTTAAAACAAGTACGAACCATCCAGTCCAAATTGTGAAGTGGAGTAGACCACACCATCCATGGTATCTTGAAGTGTAATCTGCTCTCTTGAACTAACATGGTGATCAACATAGTTACTGCAAGACAGAAGATGTAAATAACTGATCCATAACCATAATCAATGTGAGGCAAGAATGTAACATCAACCAGGAAAGATTTCCATCATTATATTTGACACTTCTGATCTAACATTATACGTGAGAAACAACAAAGAAAGGAAAATGCATGAAATAACTAACCCCTGAAAGATTTCATTGTCTGGTAGTTCAAAGTCATCAAGATCAAAAGTCTCTGGCAACGTAATGGAATGATATGGTGCAGTAGATTCTTCTGGTGGTAAATCAACTGTAGCAGAACGAAAAGCCTGCTTTACCTTCAACAAAGCCTCACTGCAATCATCAAAGAGGTAATTCACCTTTCTAGAATATATCCTCACCACACCGAGGAGAAGATGGCTAGACAACCGGAGGGCAATAGGTACTTCAGGAAATAGAATTGAATCTGCTCAAAGTAGTATATATAAAAATTAAAAAAATATATTTATTAGATGAGCAAAGACAATTTTTCACCACAGAGAGGGTGGGGGGGGAAGAAGAGTGAAATGCAATTAGGCAATAGGAAAGTCCAGAGAAAGAATCAGCATGGAAATGTCGATAAATATTAAAACATAATCATTCATCATTATAGAGTTATCTGTCTTTTATAAGTTTGGTGAAATTGACCTCCACAGGCACAAATGCCAAAAGAGCTGAGCAAAGTTGCAAACTCATACTAAGAAGAAGAATCTGCACAGGCCTTAGATTTGGTATTCAAAGTAAATTATAGTTAAAATCAACAGTCACCATCAGAAATAAGGATAACAAATTAGTCCAGAAATGACACTTCTGGAGGACATATCTGGCGCAAAAACCCTCCTATATGGGAGATTGAGGCTATCCTAAGAACCAAATTTAAGTCAATCTAATGCTTCTCCACCATCTACTTTGATAATATATATACATCTTTATCTTTAATGCAAACTGTCCACATTCTCTAGAGCTCACCATCAAATTTTCACAATTTCTTCCGGTCATAACTAATTAATCCACCCTGTATCCATACAGGTCAAAGTTCAGAATTCAGAATGAAAAGTGCATCTGCGTCCTGATTCTGAATGATATTTTTCATTCTTCACAGGAATGATAAAAGAAAAAGTGATGCTGGCAAAAAATTGCAATGACAAGCAACAGCAGTTAAGACATCCACTTTTAACCAAGACAATTAAGCATGTAGTCAACGTGACAGGCAGGCATAGACAAAATATGGTAAGAATTTCACCAGATAATTAATTTTAACTATGAACTAGCTTGCCTGCTTTACTTTCTTCTCTTTCTTTTAATAGGATTAACTAGATATTATACTAAGACTTGCTAAAAAGTTCGAGATATTAATATTAACTGAATCAGTGCCTCCATATCAATGCCTTACTCCTGTCCAGAGGGGAAAAGAAATGATAAAAAGAAATTCCAGAGACACTAAAGTAATTAACTTCAGCAACACTAGAGCAGCTGGATTTAGCCAGTCAGTTGAATTTTAGATCTTAAATATGACTTTTCCTCCAACTTTCCTAGCAACCAGATATGGAAACATAGATAAGAGTAAACTGAGAGAGTAATCAGAAAAATGTAAATACTAACCTACAGAGACCCCAATATCAGTATCAGCGACCTGGTTCTTGCGGAGCTTCCTCTCCAGATGTGCTGCTATCCATATCGTTCCCAAGGGGCCTTTCTTGGCCAAAATAAACTGCGAGTAGAACATTTTTCTCCCAAAACCAGAACCCAACCCTAGGTTCTAGACAACAGCATTCCCCTCCGTCGGGAAAATAAACGTAAACACTAAATAGCCCGTATAAATAAAGCTTAATTAAACACCCTCCCTTACTCAACAACAAGAAACACTTCAAATTTCCCCTACCCAGATACAACTCAAACTTCTTAACCAAAAATTTCACCACCAGGACCTCAAAACAAATCAAATTCAACAAATTTACAGATCTATCAGAGAAAACCCTAAATTTCCCAGTTAAAAAAATTCTACAAATCTTCCCCCAATACACTAAATTTCCACTTCAACCTCCCAAACCCACACAAATTCACTTGGAAAATGCTCCCAATTTTGGAGGAACCTGTGAAACCCTAATTACTCCACAACTACTAGACCACCTTGTGCGTACCCCCACAACTCCGTAACCCATCAAACGGCTCCATTTCCTTCAAATTCAAGAAAATTGCATCAACAGACTCCAAAATCGAAGCTTTCAAATCGGAATAACTTAAAACCCAAACTTCAAAGTAAAAAAAACCCTAGAATCAGATGAGCGCCGGCGTGATGAGGAAGCCGGAGGTGGTACACAGCCGGATGAAGCGAGTGAACGGAGCAGGTGGCCGGAGATTGGACGGCGAAGAGGAGGAACAGAGCAGAGATTTGTAAGAGAAAAGAGGAGCGCTGGTTTCGGCGATTTTTGAGATGTTCGAATTTCAACTCTGGTTCGATGGTTTTGGATCGGGTGTAGGTGAAGTCCATGAGACGTACAATGCGGCGGCCAGTGATTGGATGATTGAATTCTTAAAGTTTTTGGGTCCCAGTTCTTGACTTGATGAACGGTGATCGGGGCACCTTCTGAGTCAGAGTTTTAAATTTGGAATTTTTGAAGTTGATAAATTAAGTTCCGTGTTTTTTAGAGGCAGTACAACTTTTTAAGACTTTAAGTAAGCGAAACTACTAACTTGAAAAAATTTATGGAAAAAGGAATCCCATCATTTTATATTTTTGATATTATCTTATCGTTTTTTTTGGAAAGCTTTTTATCCTTTTATAGTATTTTTTTTTTAATTAGTGTCTCTATTTAAAAAAAAAAAACTTTTTGACTCTTCTAAAAAATTTTTTTTTACTTTTTTATACATTAAATTTTTCTTTAAAATTATGCTTTTATTTATATTATTTTAAAAAATAAAAATAAATAAAAATTTTGATGATTAAATGGAAGAAATATTTACCAATTTTAAAATTTTTAAAAATAATTAATTCAAGATAAACGGAGAGATTTTTAAGAAGGAAAAAAAAAAGATTTTCAAATTATATTGTTTCAAATTTTTATTAAACTTTATTAATAATTTAATATAACTTAAATAGTTAGAGGTAATATTATTTTTAAAAATAAAATATCTTAAATTCAAATAATATATTATGTGAATAGGGTGAAGTGGCATGCACTAAAAAATAGAAATGTTACTTTTGTTGTACAACCTAAAATAATAATAAAAACATTAAAAAATTTTAAGATAACTTATTTTAAAAGTGTGAA